GACAGATGGGGGAACTGAGGCACAGTGAGATTGACCTGCCCAAAATCACAGAAATTGAACCCAAATTACCTGTTCCCTGGTTAGTGCCTTAATAAAAGACCCTCCTTCCTTTATAAATATTAATAACCCTTCAGCTGGTCACAATGTAGTCTCAAAATGTTTGTTCCTCTGACAAGAACAGTTATTTCAAAGTATACTATTTTTAAAAAATTTAATCTGTCAAAATTATACTTACTGTTAACAGGGTATGTACTGGAAATGTCAGTTGTACTAACTCAAACAAATACTCCTGACTTACAGCAGAGTTAATTAGACTAGAATTTATGCCATTCTGTGTACAAGAGTGTAATTTCTAAATAGCTACTTAAGTGGTTCCCCGTCCATCTCCCCCCATAGCCTGCTTTCTAATATGCTAGATGTCTTATGTGCTATAGTTATCATCATTGATTGACAAGTATGTTAAAACAGAGTGGTATTGTTAGCTGATTGTAATTGGTTTGAAGATTAAGTATAGCCATAAACTACTTGAGTTTTAGATGTGGCACAAGTTCTCCCTTCTATTTTTGGTACTTAGTTAAGGAAATATAAACTATTTGTGTTAATAGTTTTTCATGCATTCAAACCACAATTAAAAAGTAGCCTATTTCTATAAGAACAATAAAGTAGAGATTTAAGGTACGTTTCCCACTCTTGAAAACGAGCTTCGTGTGAGCTGGAAATCTTGTCTCTGTCACCAAAACAAAACAAAATTGCGAAGTGCAAATGTGTAAAAGCCAACAAAAAGGAGGGGGCGAGGCAGCCAAAATTTTTTTTGCTTGGGGCAGCAAAAAACCTAGGGCCAGCCCTGCTCCTAATCACCCTGAAATCCATGGAATCTTCATATGCTCAGAGATTCTGAAAAGAAGGCCACTTGTTTGCAGATAAAAGATCTTATTTTAATACCACCTTGGGGGGTAAAAAGGACCCCTTCTTTGTCTGAGTGAGTTTGAATAGGGTTTGTTATTTCTGAAGCTTGAGCTAGCCTGGTGGTTCAGAGGCAGCACATTGGTCTATCATGCTGGAAATCTAAAATGAAATCCCAAGCAGTGTGGGCTAGCAGGGTTGTGAATACTGCAAAGGAACATGCTGAGATCTTAGGGCAGCATAGTCATTTGATCCCACAGGACAAATCCAAATAGGTGGGATGTTATAACAGCGTGACTGAAGAAGTAATGTTAGTAGGCTTCAGGGAGAGTCATCACAACCTTTCACTGAAGTTAATGGTGCTGCTGATGTGGGCACCTGAGGGAGACAAAGGAGGGACTTAAAGGGTGTCTCTTCACTGCAGGTGGCAGCATACCTCCCAGCTCAGGAAGGCAGACCTGCAGTAACGCTGCTTGAGCTACCATGCCAAAAATATCAGTGTAGTCAGGTTAGAATTGGTCCCGTAGCGCCGCTCTGGGCGCCACTGGACCAACCCAGCAGCACCCTAGCTGCTCTTGTTGAAACTGATCAGTTTCAGCAGCGGCTGAATCTGGACGCCAGTTCCGACTTACATATAGATTCAACTTAAGAACAAACCTACAGTCCCTATCTTGTACGTAACCCGGGGACTGCCTGTACATTTCCCACTCTTGAAAAAGAGCTTCGTGAGAGCTGGAAATCTTGTCTCTATCACCAAAACAAAACAAAAATTGCAAAGTGCAAACATGTAAAATCCAACAAAAAGCAGCAGGGAGAGGGCGGGGGGGAAGGGGGCCGGAAAGCGCAGCCAAAAATGTTTTTGCTTGGGGCAGCAAAAAACCTAGAGCCGGCCCTGGTTGGGGGCGAAGAGCTGCCACCATTAGCAGGTGCTTTAGGTGACAGTTCTGCTCTCTTTGTCCTGAGCCTAACTTTTTTTGCAAGTAATGAACTTACTTATATGATGGCCCTCTCCCAGGCATGTGAAGTACAAAGAGTGGTGATCACCTTTGGTCACAGCTAACTATGGGTCCACTAACCAAGGACTTGTGAAGCAAGAGCACAAAGCTCCAGCGATGGTATATCACTGGTGGTAAGAAGGAACTCAAGGGGCAGTGAGGCAGCAGTGTCATATATACTGTTCCTGAAGGCACCACTCCAAGGGGCTCCACAGCTGACTCGATGGGTACCGCTAAGGAAAAAATTTCTGACGATCAGGTGGGGTGCACACACCCGCCCATTGGAATGCACATGAGCAATCACTTGAAGGAAAATGCAAGTTTTACTTTTATTCATTTTTGGTTTAGGTAAACTGAAAATGATTTGTGTACAAGTGATTTTAAAACAACAAATGTAAAGGACTAGGAAATTAATCACCTGAATAAGCTAAAAGATTTTATGTTTCTGTGCTAGTGCACATTTGCTCCACTGACCATTTCATCTCTGTTTGGTTGATAAAAAAGGGTTGCCCAAGAAAGAACAGTGCTGAACATCAAATTATAGAGGATATGGAAGAGACCTCAGGAGGTCACCAAGTGTAACCCCTGCCCAAAGCAGGACCAAGCCTAACTAAATCATCTCAGCCAGGGCTTTGTAAAGCCAGGACTTAAGAACCTCTAGGGATGAAGATTCTATCACCTCCCTAGGCAATCCATTCCAGTGCTTCCCCACCCGCCTAGTAAAATCATTTTTCCTTATATCTAACCTAGTCCTCCCCCACTACAACTTGAGATCATTGCTTCTGTAATCTGCCACCACAGAGACCAGTTCTCTCTTTCATATCCTCCACACACATTTGGAGAAACCAGGTTTTGTATGATGGAAAATAGCCTTTGGATGGGAGGGGTAAAATGAAATTCACCCATTTAATCCAAAGGAAAGTTTAGGAGCCAGAAGACAGGCTGCCACCCTTTCATATTTTTGTGCATGGGTTTTGGGCCACTGGATCTACTTCAGTGCAGATCCAACTACTCCCAATGTCCCTTGCTGTTCAAGAGATAACTAATCCCAGATGTACTCTAGAAAGTTAGGTCAACCCAGTCACATCACTCATCCCCAAGGACAGAAGGTACCACAGACTGGGGGAGGCTGTGCTTCCTCAAACAGCCAAATGAGTCTTCACCCACTCTCCGTCCCCTCCCACCACTTCCTGCCACCTGCCCCTCTGGGGCTGGAGCCATTGGCTGTGAGGGAGGAATGTGCTCTGGGCTCCAGCAGGACATGTGTGCAGAAGGGGCAATGCCTTGGGTGGAAGGGACAGGGCTGGGGGCTAGTTCTCCTCCATCTGGCAGTTCACATGGCACCCATGCTCAGGCCTCTGAAAAATTCACACCCATCTTTGAAAAATACACAGCCTAAGAACATATGTAATTCTGCAATACTTACAAGTACAGAAATGTATTTGTTTTAGAACTGATTTTCCAAAAAGATGTGTCAAAATTAAATGCACAAGCAATTGCACATCTAACTAGGAGCTCAAGTGCACTTGCAAGCAACTGACCATTTTCAACAGGTGCCACCTACAAGTGCAAAACATTTTCACCAAAGCTAGTGGTGAAATTATGTTTCTAAAACTAATGTAAGAGATGGACATCAGATGAACCATCTTGACTCTGCATTTTTATAGTGGGCATTTCTGGTTTATTTTATTCTGAAATTTAATTTTAATTTAGAATTTCTTGGATGTCTAATACTTTGACTTTAAAATATATATATAAATAAAACGAATCTTAATCTTTTCTGTTAAGTAACTGATACCTTTTCTTTCATTTAAATTCAGCTTAACGTTTTTATTTGAAAAAAATATATAGAACAATTCTTTACAAGACCTCTTGCTTCATTTGGACTTTCACCTCCCCAGGTTCTGTGTCAGTGGAAGAGAAGCCCTGAGTTCACCACTTAAGCACTTTCTACGAGATTTATGATGGAAATGAGAAAGAATCTTGTGATGGAGAGTCTCTGAAATCCTCTCCTTGGTATCCTCCGAGTCTGGAGGACACACAAAAAAGGGAGTAGGATGTTCTCATATGTAGATAAGTGGGGAATTTAGAGCTTGCAAACTAGACAGAGATCCTACTCCTGCAGAGATCACAGGGCACTGATGGAAGCATGGAGCAGACAAGTATTCACTGTCCAAAACAAATACAAGCTGACATGTGATGTACAGAACATACATTGAAAGTGCTGTTAATAAATAAATATTAATTCACTTTAAAATTAATTAAAGATACTCAGTAGGCACAACATACAGTAGACTTCTGATTATCCGGCACCTTTTGGACCTAGGTGGTGCCGGATTATCAGATTTGCTGGAGACTCAGGAGGTCCTGTACAGCTGCACAGCTTAACAGCTGGCCAGGACACAATCTCCCTCCCTCTCTCCTCCCCCTTCCTCTTCCTGTCCTCCATGCTGTAACCTGATCCTCCCCCCCCCCTTCCCTTTTCCCCTTCGCTGAAGCAAAACCCTCTTCTCCATACTGTAACAAGATCCCACTCTCCCCCCCCCCCCAACCTTCTGCTTTTTAATCAGCTGGTCAGGAGCGCTTGGCATTTTGATGCCGGAGTATCAGGAGTGCTGAACAGTTGGATGCCAGACTATCGGAGTTTTACTGTATTAAACTAAGTCCATAGTCTATAAGGCTAGTTGAGTTACAACATTATAAAATAATTAGAGCCCTACGCATATACAACATTTGTATCTGCAAAAAGGAGGTGCATATATCCACATTCACATCTGCGGATACCCGTGGATATCCACAGATTTGCAGGGCTCTAAAAATAAATTAGGAAGCATGCAACAAGTGAGATTACATTTGTATTTTGAGTCCCCTTATCTCTAAATTCTTTGCTCAATTTGCCTGAACATCAAGTTCTACCCTGGCTTATACAATAGTAGGCCAATTCCTTTAGTTTGGTGAAAATATGCAGATTGAGAACAGCAAAACTGTACTTGCTACAGAAGGAACTAGGCATGCTCTCCGCAAAGCAGTCCCCTATTAGATAACAATGCATCACCATTTATACAAAAGTATACAGGACATCAATATTTATAAGATACATACAAGAACTGGAATCACTTTCTTTCTTGTCCTCTTTTTGCTTTTTAATATCTCGAACAAACGTTTCCCCTTGCCTAAATTCTTCTTTAGAAGACAAATTACCGCCAAGATCTGAAAGTCCCCCTATTGTAACAGGAGAATTGACAAAATAAAGAGAATTAACACTATATTGCCATGCAATGAAATATTGTGTAGTAGAACAAATGAAATATCTATAATACAGTGGTTTCTTTTACTAGGTAAATTCCAAATAAAATATTGAACACTTTACCACATAAAAATTGCTATAGAATGTCAGAAGACTAGATTAATTTAATACAAACACTAGTGCCACCAAATGTACATACAAATTAAAATAAGGTCTCAAAATAAGTTCAAAATAAGCCAGCCAAAGGAAGTGCAAAGAAAGAATACTCTTATATATAATTCTCAGAGGGGTAGCTGTGTTAGTCTGTAGCTGAAAAAACTTAAAAAACAACAAATAGTTCTTCAGCATCTTAGAGACTAACAAAACATGTAGATGGTATCATGAGCTTTCGTGGGCACAACCCACTTCTTCAGATGAATGGAGTAAGGGGTCCAGGGTACAAATAAATAGCAGAGAAAGAGAGGGGAAGAGAAGGAAAAAATATTGTCAATTAAGAGAGTTTGTGCTAAATGAGGCTAATCGAGTGGGATACACACACACACACACACACACACACACACACACACACACACACACACACACACCCCCCCCCAAGCTTATCAGCCTCAATGCTCTGTGTGTATAAGTGTTATCTCTTGATTTCTAAAATGTGCACATGCAGCATCTTTGCAATTGTTAGCATATTAAAAAATATGCATGCAAGCTGACACTGCTTACCAAAAATATGACCTTAAGAACTGAAAAAAGTAACAAAATATATGCTGCATGGAGAAGTCTACTAGTAATATGAATGAAGCAAAGACAGATGAACATTTGGAATTTTAGTTGAGACAAAAATTGATTTATTTTTATTTTAAAAATATTATTGTTAATGTAATTTTTATGAAATGACTAATATAGAATGTATTCAATTCTTTGACAGAAAAATATTTTAAGAATACAACTTGCTTATCAATGTAAGCTAATATAAAAATGCATGAATACTTTACCGGAAAGAGCAGTTTGTGGTATGTTTATAGGTAGTTTTTTTAAAGCTTTTTTAAACTGTGCAATTCCTAATACAACATTTCTTATCTTCGTCCATAGAAAATAGCCACTTCTATTACTTGAAGGCCAAGTGCTTTCCAAAACAGCCTATTCAATGAACAAAGTTAGATTAAATGATGGTAAGAAGTCCTTGCTTTCTTTACAGATTTGCTTAAGATTTTTAAATGCAAGGATGTTCAAAAAGTGGTTCACTGACTTAAACTGACAAGAAACATGCTGCATTAATAAAGTAAATCTTAGAATGTAAAAAAGAAGAAAGTTTCTATCTTATTTTTATGAACGTATTCCTTCAGTAATTTTTGCTTGCTATTTAATTATGTACAACTATAGGAATATACCAGCCTCCCTTCTTTCCTCCCACAAAACACTCACCTTGTTATAGTAACCATATGTAATGGCATTAGGGTCAACACCGGCTTTTTTCATTTCGAAAAGGACTCTCACTGCAAGCACAGGCTGGCCATATTGCCCACATAGCTGCATAAGCACCCGGTAACATACCTGGAAACAGACATTTTCAGTGTTCATTTTCTAAAATAATTTATACATAATTCAAAACAAAGCCTCCAGGATTTACTTTACCTCATCAGGTGGATCTATCTTTTTGGTATGCATTTTTCGCAGCACGTCATATGCGGTTCTCAGAGCCCTGACTTTTGAATGGCACACTTTCACATATGCAGGAAGGCAGATAAACCATAGCCCATAGCAGTGCCGCAGCAAACACCTGGACCACATCTGAGGGATGGAGGAGTACCTCTTAGCTATCTTATGGGCTGACTTTATTTCCTGTAAAGAGGCATTCAGTTAGTATCTTTAATATACATATTAGATTTTTTAGAAATGAATCAGTTCTTCATAAAAAGCGAGAGCTTGCTTGAGTCCTTTGAGATCTTTATGGGCAAAATAAGTCGACACATGGCTGGACAGAGATACAGATAGGTAGGAGAAGCAGACCCACACTAAGTGCTCAGTTCTTACCTGAGATAAGTAGAAATGTGTCTTGTAGAATAGCTCCTGTGGACTAATAGCTGCTCACAAAAAAGCAACTTACCTCTCAAAGACTTTATACTAAGTTACTGACACCTTCTGCTTGCATAAACAGAAATTAATTTTATAATTTAATTTGTCTCCTAGTTTTTTTGAGTCTCAGAACAATGTTAGTCTGTAACTATAAAACAATTAGTAGTCCTGTGGCACTTTAGAGATTAACGAGTTTTCTTAATTTTTTTTTTTAAGTTCTCTTTGAGAGCACAAATACCTGACACAAAAGGCATCTGGTGTATCCATCATTAAGAGAAATTATGGCCTTGCAGGACAGACAGCTTCTGAATCCTGGAGACTTTGGTGCCATGATAATCTAGTACTGTGTTCTGCCTGCTATCTATATTTCTTAATATGAGAAAATTAATGGAAAAGGGGGAAGGAAAATGGTAAATCTAAACTATTTTATCACTTAAAAAAAATCATTCAATATTGGCGATAATGCCACACAGGGAGCAAAGAGGTTTGGATGCTGCAGAGTTCTTATCTGAAAACACAGGTCATGAGAAGGACCTGAGAAATAGCATCAACTTAGCATTTATGCCCTAAATTGGGAGTACAGGGACATGCAGGATCCCAAGAAGACATGGCTGACCAATAGAATCCAAACTCTCACAGCCATACACCCCAGAATATATGTGCACAAACAGTTTAAGAAGATCAGTGTTGCCCAAGTTAATTTTGGTCATCTAGAAACTTATTTTTCATTGACTCTACAGCCATGGGAACCAAGAGAACGGATGGCTAAGCTTGCAAGCAGAAAGCCCTTGTAAACTTTTAAAACTTCTCTAGTACAGGTTGTACCTCACTGGCCCAGCACCCTGACCAGTCAACCAGGGAATCCCCACAGGGATGCTGGATCACAGATGTTGCCGGACTAACAGACGTCCAGACAAGAGAGAGCAAACTTGTAATATAAATATTTCAAAGTACCTGTTTTGTTCTCCTGAACATTGGGGATGGGCTGTTGGGACTACTGCCTTTTGAAGACAGTTTGTTATTTGGTGTAGTCAGGAACCCCTCAGGTCGATCAAACAAATCTAGTTTCAGCACAGGAAATCCATTATAGCTGTAAAAGAAAAATATGCCATAAACTAATGTTTATAAGACCATTTCAATCAGAAGTGAACATAAGGACTAAGAATATCAGTGGACAGAAGCAGTCATACTTTCGTCAGGTAAAGAGGAACAATTCTTTTTACTGAATATTCTGGGTGACTTGCATAAACACAAAAGCTCTTAACTTCTTGCATCCACTTACTTAAACAATTTTGATTAAGTGACAGTTTTTCTTTATTAGTAATTGCATCCACTTACTTAAACAATTTTGATTCTTAAGTGACAGTTTTTCTTTATTAGTATGCCAATAAATTAGCACAAGTCAAATGTATTAACATTGACTGTAGCTTGAAGAAGAAACTCATATGCTGATTTAGTGTCTAATGAACAAAGAACACAGAGGCCCATAAAAATCAATATATGCACTATAAACTCATCTAAAAGATAAAATTAGATTACCCATCTCTACAAGTCCATTTTAATTTAGCAATGAAACAAAGATGCCAATAGAAATAATCTAATTTGACATGTAATTACTAAATTAATAACGTCAGTTTTAACTCAAGGGCCTGATTCAGTGAGATACAGTTCCTCCTGCAAAACAATAAGCAGGCTCATCTTGTACAGAAATCAATAGGAGCTGAAAAACATCCTGTCAAGATGGTTAACCACTGGAATAAATTGCCTAGAAAGGTTGTGGAATCTCCATCACTGGAGATTTTTAAAAGCAAGGTGGATGAACACCTGTCAGAGATAGTCTAGATCAGTGTTTCTCAAACTGTGCTCCTCTGAGCCCCAGGGCTCCGCGGGACATCACCAGGGGCTCTGCGAGGTTGACAAACTGGAAACATCGATAGATACAACACATACAATCAGTGGACCTCTGGGGCTCCGCATACATTTTTACACATGTAAAGGGCTCCAGAGCCCAAAAAGTTTGAGAACCGCTGGTCTAGATGGTGCTTGGTCCTGCCATGAGGGCAGGGGACTGGACTCGATGACTTCACGAGGACCCTTCCAGTTATAGTATTCTATGATGGACACTAAATATTTTACAAGAGGTTTCTGTATATTGCAGACAGTGACCCTGAATTTTCAGTTTAAAAATGTAGATATAAATATTTACAGGCACTGTGACTAAGATTAAAATACCAAAGTAAGTAATTTTAGGTCCACACACATGGAAGTCCTTAAAATTTTAGTTCAGTTGGCACAGTAGGTTTTTCACCTGTAAGCTTTTTTTTTTATAAACAGAATGAAAAATTATGAGACTGGAAAAGTGTTATTCTATAGTAATTACACACAACTCTATAAAGTGGCTATAGAAAGGCAACCGGGCACATTTTTGTTGTTATTTCCAAATATTTTATCCTACTTCCTTGAATACCTGTACTGCAAAGGATGCTCTTCACCATTAGGTAGGTGAGGGATCTCAGGTGGTGTGATGAAAACGGTATGTTCACTCTTGTAGGACTCATCCAGTTCTATAAGCCGAGTTTCACCACTCCTGTCCATATCTACCTACAGAAATTTAATTACAACACAGTGTGTTTAAGTTATATTTGGTTACAGGAAATTAACTTAAGTCTACCGCACAGCATAGGTAGACATTATGCAATGTTAGCAAAGGATTGTATGTGGGAGCTAATAACTCCTGGCAAGGTGATGATTAAGAAGCACAGCTATTGGAAGGAGGTTAAAAGAGGACTGACTAGGTTATGTTGATGCACTTGTTTGCTCAAGTCACAGAGGGGTAGCTGTGTTAGTCTGTATCTGCAAAAACAAGGAGTCCTGTGGCTCCTTACAGTCTTAGTCTTTCAGGTGCCATAGGATTCCTTGTTCTTTTTACTAATGCCTTTTCCCAGTCAAAATGTATGTGCTTTGGGGCTAAGAAAACACCTTTGGATACTTGGATACTTTAGCTGTAATTGTTTTTAGCACTTCAGTGTTAACATTATGATCACCTTTGAGATCTCAGAACGTTTATCTGCTTACTGATTAAGTTATTTTTCATTCATATAAGTTCATGGCCATTTTCTTTCCTGATGGATCCCTCTAACTGTTCAGAGCAGTTGGTTTTGTGAAGAATATCAACTTTCAAAGGTAGGACATTGAAAACTTATGTGCAAACAAAAGAAATTACTTCAACTTAATTTTCCAATATGAACATTTACAGTTATTCTTCTATTTCAACTTGATTGCTGACTAAACTAGTAACAGAAGCCTGATCCTAAGGTGTAATTTAATGAGAACAGATAGCTCCGCACAACAATTTCAATTTCTTACATAGTAATTAACTTCTGTAATTGATATAAACTGACAAATCTTTCTGTCTGCTTAGCGTACACATATTTAAACAGATGCCATATTTAAGGCATCTGACCTATTCAAAGTAATGGCTGTTGCTCAAACTTTCTAGCTCCGTTAGACAGGAAGAATTGGACTCAGTTGTAACATGCAATTAGTCAAAACAAAAATTGCTGTTTTCCTCAAGAAGCAAAAGGAAACAGAGGCTGCTTAACAATATTACTGAAAGCTTTTCTTTCCATTTCTTGAGCCACAGAAACATTCTTGCAAGAAAGTATGGTTATATCACTGAAGAGAAAGGAAGATTAAAAGAAGAGAATTTTTACCAGACACTAAGGCTACGTCTACATTGCACAGTTATTTCGGAATAAGCTATTCCAGAATAGTTATTCCGAAACAGCTTATTTCGAAATAACATGCCTACACTGCAGGGAAGCTGCAAAATTAGTCCAAGGCAGGCTTCCCTAATGTAGATGTGCTATCTTGATTTAGAGCCCCAGGAGGAATAACTTAGAGTGGCCTTGATGAGGGGCTATTTTGAAATAGCAGAAATGGACATCTACACACGACTTATATCAAAATAGCTATTTTGGAATAGGAGTTATTCTTTGTAGAATGAGGTTTACAGAAGTTGGCACAAGCCATCCATTATTTCGAAATAATTATGAAATAATGGAATTGCTGTGTAGATGCTCGCATAGTTATTTTGGAATATGCACCCTAAGAGATCTTAGTGTTATTGTTTGAATCATGTATGGATGTAAGGAGCAGTTGCACTGGAGAATTTCAGATGGGTTTCAAAACAAGCTACTCAATTAATATTTCTCACCTAGGTAATATTTTATTAGTCCAACAACATTTATAATTACATGAGTGGCTGTGTAGCTCTGAAATGAACCACTGAGATAAGAACAAGAAGGGGACTGGAATTGAAATTTACGTCGTGCCATTGCATAGGTCCTCATCATGTATGTCACATATATGGCAGGCTTCTTTGGCTCTAAGGCAATGTACTGGATTTTTACCCTCAGTCTTTTCTCCTTGAAAGATACTGAGCACATACCTAAACTTGGTCTCTTACTGTGTTAACATTCAGCTGCTTTTAATAAGCTTATTACACATAATGGACCTGTAGGAGGGTATATTTTCCTTTGAAAGTTTATTTCTCTGTGAATACTGCACATGAAGGATGTAAATCTAACCCCTTCACAGAGAGACTAAAGTTTCATAAAGTCTGATTTCAAGCACACTCGGCACCTCTGACACCCCCAACAGGAACTAGAGATGCTCAGCAGGACCTCTGAAATTCATGCCATTTGCAATCAGGATCCCAATCAGGACTTCACTTTGATAGTATAACACCAGCCACCAATATACTATACCACTTACAAAAATCTTTCAATCCTATCACTAGGGTCCTACAAAATTCACGGTCCATTTTAGTCAATTTCATGGTCAAAGGATTTTTAAAACAGTACATTTTGTAATCTCAGGTATTTAAATCTGAAATTTCACAGTGTTGCAACTGCAGGACCCTAACCAAAAATGGGGTTTTGGAGGATTGCAAGGTTATTGCAAGGAGATCACAGTATTGCTTGCATCCTTACTTCAGCACTGCTGCTTCTGGTGCTGCCACTGTGTCAGAGCTGGGAAGCTGGAGAGCAGCAGCTGCTGTTCAGAAGCCCAGCTCTGAAACTACCTGTTCACCTGCTCAAGCCGACGACCCCAACCTGACTTCGGAGGAGGAGGGCAACGGGGAGACAGATGACACAGAGCTGGAGGATAAGATGATGGACATTTGATCCTAGAGGTGGGTTTTCTCCGAGACATGGAGGTTTGAAGGCAGTGCCACTGATAGCAGCAGTGCTGACGTAAAGATGACATGGTATGGTATTGCCACCCTTGTGTCTGTGCTGCTGCCTTCAGGAAGGGACCCTTGGCCAGCAGTTGCCACTCTCTGGCCACCCAACTCTGACGGCAGCACAGAAGTAAGGGTGGCAATACCATCCATCCCTCCCTCCCTCCCTCTAACACTGCAACCTCTGTTTGGATCAGGACCCTTAGATTGAGAAACAGTGATCTCTCTCATCTCTATAGTACAGAGAAAAGTTACACAAAAGATCAGATTTCATAGGAGGAGACCAGTTTTCACAGTCTGTGACTTATTTTTCACGTCTGTGAATTTGGTAGGGCACTAGCTATCACAAATGAAGAAGGAAACTGCAGTGTTACTTTGTTTGGATGGCAAGTTCTCTCTCACAAGAAATGCTCACTGTCAAATGAACAACTTCTGCCACTGTCTCTTTTGTAAAAATTAATCACCCTGTTGGATCCGACATCACTTCTGGCTTTCTGTCCCTGCAATGCTATTTTCTGCTGGTACCGTAATGCACCTTTCCAACAACAAACAACTGACATCAGGGAAAGTCTCCTTCCTTCCTTCCTAGGACATCAAAATGCTCAATTTTTGCAGCTGCTGTGTTCAACTCAGATACCACGGCACCTATTTTACATTCATTGTAATGATCTAAAAATGTACTCTTGCTCTCTTTTGGAAGAGTAAATGTCATCGTCTTCCAGCCCATTTTAAGCATCACAGTATCAGAAACTGAAAAGACACATTATCTAATTCAGATTCAGAGTTATCTGTAGAAATTTCAGAATATTGAGACATGTTCTCTGGCAGTTTCTGATATAATCTGCTACAGACAGATCTTCTACATCACAGCCAGCAAATATAGAGTGAGATGTACCTGGCTGAAACCAAGTGTAAACATGTATCGGCAGCAGGTAGTGGTACTGTTATGCATATATAGATCTTTAAATGAATAAAAACTGCACTAAAATTGAGGAAGATGCACACTAATTAATCATTATATTTTAAAAGTACACTTAAAACCAAAAATTTAGTGCTGGTCAAAGGTGCCAAACTGAAGGGCTGACAGACTGAAGTCTTCTCTTTATGCACACAAGCATACCACAACCAACAACAGTATAGGCTTTCTTGAGCTGCCCCATGTCCAATCTAGAGAGGACAACTCAAACAGGTGAGTAGACAGTCTACTTTCTGCAAAGAAGCTAATGAGTCAATAGCAATGGAAACTGAACACATAATATGTCCTTTGGGAACAAGTTTCAGCCACCGTTCTGATTAATTTACAATTTGGTTCTGTCTTTGCCTTCCTATATGTTGTGGTCAACACCATAATACCAATAAAATAACTACAAGTCGCTTCACGCAGGCTAACAGACTGCGGTCAATTACTAGTCTGAGCTGGATTTCAACAGGAGAGACAAGAGGCTACACATTCCAGGGCCAATTCCCCAATCCAGTTAGCTATTATGAAAAACAATTTGTCCATGCACCCTGTAAGTCAAAACACCTTGTACCATTCTAAATATAAAATACTGTAAGGAAAATGATACGCCCTGAACCCAGGCTTATTTGTACTAAATAGTCATGGACTACAATGCTTGTTTTTTTAAAAGCTTTGTACAGGGTTAGGTTTTTTTTCCTATAGAAAATACTATGCTAAACTTGAACTGCGAAACCTACAGATCGATACTGTTAATTCCTGAAAGTTCAACATCAGTGGATTCCAGGTACAGGAGAAAAAAAAAACAAAAAACAAAAAAAAAAACCCACAGATTTCTGCCGCAACATACAATTAAAATAATGTCACGGTTTTTCTCTTTATCATGTAACTGATACATACATTGATCAACACATTTCTTTTGGTACACAGATACTGTTACTTATGCATTTTACTGCATGAGTGACATTGAGAGAATTAGTAACTCAGTCAGGTCAACAGCAAGAACATATGGCTCTTTAAAAAGAAAAAATAAATTAAACTTTACTTGATAATTTAAATATTTCTAAAGATTTAGAGAAACCACAAAAACAAGTTTTTATGTTTGGTTTCAGCAATGAAGTATATTAAACTCAGTAGTTTAAATGGATTGAAGCATTTCTGAATAGTTTCGGGAAAAACAAGATCTTATGAAATAGCTTAGGAATGCGTAAGACCCTATTTGAATTGTAAGATAGTCAAAATACTGCAGCTGAGTTGCAGACAAGCCACGGAGCATGGCAGAAAAATAATAATGGACCTTTATTATTTGTGGCAATAAAGTTCACTATACTTTTTCTGTGATTTTTTGCTGTCGGCTGCCCAGGGGTGGAGAATGGGAGCTCCTGCTGTAGGTGGCCCTGGGTTCCCACTGTCAACACTGAACATAGCGCGGCTTCTGCTGTCAAAACTGAGGTTAAAGCCTAATATGAAGGAATTCATAATTTCTGCAATATCACAAATTAAGTACGGCCTTAGCAATCCTTTCAGTATGCACAATGGATAATCAATAGAAGAATTGCTTCTGTGTAGGGGAAATTAAGATGAGTAAGAGACTATGTCTTGGCTTGAGATTCTTCCATGGTGGGGGTATGGAACAGGGCCATAACCAATTTTAAGGTATGTGCAGCTAGAGCCAGTGTTATCTGAAAGATCTACCACCATGTTGGTAGGCAACCTCATCATTCAGCTGTGTTCAAAGACTACTAACACTAAACAAGTACCTTTGTACCGTTCCCACCATGGACTGATGGCCAATCGAAATATCTGGTCATTGGAGGGAAAGAAGGAGAATTACCTAGCTAACTGTTGATTTTCCCATTGTATAGTTCTTGCATTTTTTAATTTTAGTTAGCTGGATTTATTTTAAACCCAAAAACAATATCAGAGGTAAGGGAGCCAGAGGAATACAATGTGAAAGGACCTTACTATTGCTCTGAAGTTGAAGAAATCCCTTTGAAAAGAGCTATTCATTCAGCCTATTGAGAAAGGTCCGGCTGGGGAATATTACTCTGCAGGGATCAGCACATCCTAGAGGTGCAATATTACTGTGCCTATCTTTAGGTATCCCTATCTTTAGAAGTAGCCGCTCACTTTTGTAAAGTCCATGAAGATGCTTCGATGAAAAGCACAATGCAAGCATTATTAAAAGCACAGTATTTAGACTTTTATTCTCACAACATCCTGGTGAGACAGTACACATTATCCTTGTTTCATAAAAGAGATTGGAAACAGACATACTGTTGACAGGCTGCCTAGAGAAAGAACTAGGACAGGGATAAATTAGTTCCAGAGTCTCAGCCTTTCACACAAAAACTCTGTCTTTTTATTCTTTTCTAAAAGTAGAACCTCTTGCTTTGTCTTAAGAGCTGCATAGACTGTTTTCTGATTGTATAAGGGCAGCATCAACATAAGAGTTACTCCTTCAGAGTCCTGTTTGAAATCCTAAACAAAATCATTTTAACTATGACACTGATTTATGAGCACACAAAAACTATTCAATAAAATAAAATGAAATGCAGCAGAGTAAGCTTGGCCTTTGTATAATAATCTCATTTTGAAAAAAAAAGCCCTATTTAACATTAGAGACACAATTAGTCTGCACTGCAGTTATGTCTGAATGGTCATTTGAGTACATTCTTGCCTGTCTGCAATTAGTTTAACATGGGTCACATTCTTCAATAGGAAGCCAGTTAAATATTTTTTTTCTGTTGAAGACATCTTGAAGGTTTAACATAAATGTTTAATTAAACTTAATTCATGGTCTAACAATATATACAATTATGCTTTTATTAATTTGGTTTTAGATAACAAGGAAAGGTAACTAAAGGTTGAAAAAGTAGGTAAGGGGAATTGTGCAAAATTACACCAAATTATAAAAAAAAAAAAAAAAGTATATCAAATCTTTCAACACAATAAGTCAAACCAGTTCTAAATTTTTTTTCAAAGTACCAATTCTTCAATCAGATTTTCCTATGCTTTGCCCCCTAACAAGTAACTTTTTCTAATAATCTTCAACATTAATTCCTGTGGAACAAACAGCAGGTGACCTACTTTACAGGAAATCCTAGACAACAACATGAATTGCTTATACATCAATGTCCCAGAACAGACTGTTCCAGGTACCTAGCAGACAAACAAACAGGTTTTAGATTTCCAACAATATTAACAAGAACTTTTTGTTAGAGTGGACTATGAATAATAATAAGAAATAAAATAATATTTAAAACTGTATGTTGCAATTTAATCCTTCCTAAACAGATACACATTCCTCTGACATAATGCAGAAAATAAGAGGTAGACTTTCCAGTTAAGATCAAGCCAATTTTGGGTATCCTCTTTTGTACATGAAACTAACTTCATCAATAAAAGTGTGTACACAAGTCTTTTTGCCTGTAAAAATGTCATAACATGGCAATTGAGTGGATGTACATTGTTTTGGTCACTATCAGCCATATCCACTAAGAAAACAGGTCTTAAAGTCAAGGTGGTATCCAGGCTAAATAAATTTATTTATAGCAAATGATCCACAAACATAAATCTATTTTGAAATTGGAAGCTCAGCACTCACTGTAAAATAACCTGCCACTCAAAGCCAAATCCAGCAAAGCATTCAGACCTTCTCCAAAAAGTTAAGTTTACAGCTTGTCTACATGGGGAACTCAAGACAAATTAATCTAAATTAACTAAAAGTGAGAATTTAAAGTGGATTGGTTAAACCACATAAAATATCTGTGTGGACACTTTTATTCAGAATTAAAGTGGCCTTAATTCAGTTGAGGCTAATTAAACTTTGGAAATGAATGAAGATAAAACAGAATTAAGGCTACTTTAATTCTAAGTAAAATGTACATATTGGGGCTTAATGTTGTTGAACTAATCCAGTTTGCATTCACTTTGGATTCATTTTTTTCTGAGTGTTCCCATGCAAACAAGTTCTTAGTTACTAGTTAATAAGATGCTGAAAGACACCACTCACAATCATGAAGAACTCCCACATGCCGTTCACAGAACCATTTTTCCTCTTTTTTATATTTTATAGATCTGAGATCAGCTTGGAAATAAAATTACAGCAGAAAAAAATATTTAATTAAATACAGTACAAAGCCATGATGTTAAATTAATGCTACCCACAAAATAGGTCGCAAGAAAACTTGATAAAGATTTTTTGAGAATCTGTAATAATGTATCTTGCTAGCTGAAAAATTCCATGCTAGATACACATGCCATCATATATATTGGGTATTAGGAAATATCCAAAGGTAAAAGTATAATAGCAATAAAAATTAGATTTTAAAACAGCTACAACAGGAAGGAGAACTATGATTTATGGGACTTCTTCAAAATCTCTGATCCAGATGCCAGGACAGCACCCAATACCAGATATGGAGCACCCACAGGGACATCTCTCGAAGAAGAAATATGATTTATGGGAATCACATGTAATTGTTTTTGCCTAGAAGTGTAAAGAGTAAGGAAACAGACAGATGTTTTCTCATTTTACATCCAAAGGTCTGTAATAAAACAATTTTTAAATAAAAAAAAAATTAGGAAAGATGCAAGTACTGAAGTACAATTGATTAAAATAAATCAACTCAATGTCAGCAAAGGTCAAGCGGATCTTATGTTTTCTATATAGAAAACATAAAAAGTAACTAAATGATACTATTCAGTTTCTTATGGTGCTAATATTCCATTCCAAACAATTATACAAAATATCATACCTCCTATCAAAACTAAACCACTATTTAAGGAATGTGGTATTGGCCCGGAGAACTGCAGGAAGAACTACTAAAATTAGGAATATTGTATTTCTTAATACGGGCCAAAACTTTCAAGTGTCTAGATATGTGTGTGTACAAATTACAATCTGCATACATGTGTACGGCACTGGAGATGCACTTTGAATACCTGGGCTTTCTACTTACTCATTTTACCTGAATTTTCACTTCAACATCAGAGGATAGTGACTCTAGAGTAATAGTTACACAAGGGCATCAGAAAATAGAAGTGAGATAGAAAAGAAAAAATAGAAATGGAAATACATTTATAATGAAGCCATAGCAAGCGTGTTACAATTATATAAACAAACATATTATGCCATCTACAGTACAGAAGTAAGCAATGGGAAAAGGTAAAATCAAATACTACAAATATACTTACTTTATTTACACAATCATCAAAAAATGCAAGGCTTGCATCCTTATCACTAACAAAGGAACATTCTTCAATGAAGCGAATGAACATTTGAGTTTTGGTCATTGATGTGTAGAATTTTTGATGTGATCGATCTCGACTTTTTAAGAATCCTATAAAACAAAATATATGGATGTAAGAACAATTTGAAGCACAGGAAACAGCTCTTATTTCCACCAACAAACAGGACAATAGTTACAGAAGTTATACAAAAAATATCTTTAAAAACTAGCAATTCTTATGAAATTTCTCTATTATTATTGTGTTAACAAATACTATCAATTAGACACATTTTTGCCTTTTCAGTACTATTTTTCCAGTGGCATCATAACATTTTTGTCCATTACCATTATGATATTTTTATTTTTGTCCCCATTCAGAACAGTAACGAGAAAATTGTTTCTTCAACACTCCAGTGAAAATAGTTTTTGCATATTTTATTAGCTTATGATTAAATATCAATAATATGACCCTTTACCTTGTAGTTCAAAGAGGGAACTTGCATCTGTGGCTGTCTCAGACGGTGCCTGTGTTATTGGCCTTAGGTACGACCGATAACCTTTTAACAATGAAGCCATGAAACAAAGAAATGCCTCCTGGATCTCAATATCTATCAAATGTAATTTCTTCCCAGAATTAAAATCATAGTCATTCATTGCTAATTCCATTAATGCATCTTCGCTTGGTCTTTGCTGCACTGTGAACAATAATAGTGTTAAAACACTCTCCTAGATCAATGTTAAAAAAAAAATCTCAGTGTTGACCAAAACTATGATTTCCTTCTTAACTTATTGGGGGATATGTGAAACCAGTAAGATAAGAGAGAATATTATAATATTTGGATTATCTGGTTTAAACAGAATAGTGAAGTAAGATGATTAGTTTAATATGACAGTACACAAATCACTAGTCTATGGATTTTACAAGAGGCAGAAGAGACAAACACATTTACCTTTTCAGTTACTATGGCAACAAAGAAAGAATTAGTGCAGACACTGTTTAGTGGTATGCTAATAAAAAGGGTAGTTTATGGAATCTGCTGAAAATGTTGCAATTATGAAAGATGCCTTTAGGTCTTTAGTCTTCATACAAAGGCATTAGTATCCAGATCCCCAAGGCTTCTCTCTCTCCCACTCACAGAATGGTAACATGTAACAGTGCCCATATAGAAAAGAAATATATTTTCATAATTGTGTCCCACTGTTCCAACACATTACAGGTGCACCCACAGTTCTATTAGAAACCATGCTCATATGAATTTAGACTTGGTGACCATTTGAAAAGGAATCTATTTTATTCTAAATTATATACACAAAGGCGGGCAATATTTTTTAATGGGAGGCCACTCCAAGATTTTAGTAAGTGGTCAAGGGCTGCATTTCTATGGAGTGGGTGTGGGGTCTAAGATGGTGGATGGGATGTAGAAGGGCGCTTGGGATAGAGGACTGGGGTGCAGATGGGAATGTGGGATCTGAGAAGGAGTTGGGTGAAGGAGAGGGTTATGATCTGGGGTAGGGATTAGGAGTGCAGGGTCCAGAGGGGGTACAAGTTCAGGAGAGAATTCTGGCCTGGGGGACAGGAGTAGGAGGAGGAGGTGCAGGGTCTGGGAAGGAGTTATGACCTGGAAGAAGGGGGGAAAAGGGATGCAGAGAGTATGGGTAGTGACAGGGAAATGGAGTGGGGCAGGGAATATGGGTAGAGCACGGAAACGGAGTGCAGGATCTGGGAGGAGGTATGGGTGCATGAGAGAATTCTGGTATAGGAGGCAGTGCAGGGTTTGGGAGGGAGTTGTGACCTAGAGGAGGTGGAGAGAGGGGATAAGGAGGGTTTGGGTGGTGACCTGGGGCAGGAAGCTGGGGGAGGAGGGGGGAGGGAGTTGTGACCTAGAGGAGGTGGAGAGAGGGGATAAGGAGGGTTTGGGTGGTGACCTGGGGCAGGAAGCTGGGGGAGGAGGGGGAGAAAGGAGGTGGGGTGCCAGAGGCAGGCTTTGGCAGGGAGGCTCTTATCTAGGCAACTCCCAGCCAGCAGCTCTGCAGGAACCTGAGAAAGGATCTATGCTTGTCTGCTGGGCTGGCTGCTCCGCGTGGCTCTGCTCCAGCACAGGAAAGGGGAAGGAGGGAAGAGGCTTTCCTTGCTGCCCCTGCCGCCAGCAATATTTCTCAGCTCCTATTGGCTGGAAACTGGCCAATGGGAACTGAGGGATGTTGCTAGGTGGCAGGGTCAGTGCATGAAGCTTCCCTGTCCCTCCCCAGTGTCCAGAGCAGTTAGAAGCCAGTGGCTTGCGCTGCTGTGTAGTGAGGGTGCTGGCGAAGTGGCTGCGGGCCGGATCCAATGGCTTGGCAGGCTGCATCCGGCCCACCAGCCACCTTTTGCCAACCCCAATATAGACTGTGAGCAACTTCTAAAATATAAAGAAAATCATTTTCTGACTGCAAGGTTATATGTAGCCATTAAGAAACTATGCCATCTTCAAAATAGTTTAATCTTAAATAATAAATACTGACATTAATGAAGCATGCTGTTTTTAATAAGTTCTGAGCAATAAAAGACATTATTAGTTTCTAATAGCTTCAATGGTCAAGATATTTAGTCCATGTTATTACTCTGTCTTCCTCTCTGTCTAATCTCCCGCTCATGCATGTCAATCCTCTGAAAATGCTGCTTTTCAACATACCTACCACAGCTACCATAGGGCCCAGTGGCAGGGCTTTGCAGTTCCACTCATGGCCCTTGGTACTGGGTATGCAGGAGGTGAGTAGCAACAGTGTGCACAGGATTTCAGCTACTCTAATTTCATCTCCACTGCCCACCTCAACAGCAGCCTTAGCATAAGCCTCCAGATGCCCTATTTTAAACCGGGGCTAAACAACTATCCCAAGAATAAAAAATGCAAATTGCACAATAAAACTGTGCACAGAAATGGAGCAATGGAGAATCAGCTTAATAAACACAATTAGCTTGTGGGCCAAAAATACCTCAACTGTCAGATAGACATGAGGACAACCAGATGGTCCATAAGACACAATCTGCTAAGTAAGAGCTTTATAGGTCTTGGCCTCCTTTTGGCTCTTCTGACCCCTCTCATCATGCATCTTCACTTTGTGAGGGTAGTGGGCAAGGTTCCCTCTAAGCTGCGCAGCAGCACGGCTCCACAGCTGCTTAATGAGCCCCACCCAGCTAGGGGATTAGGGCTCCATGCAAAGAGCTGCCTGGCTGGGAGAGGGGCACTTCTTCCTCAGCTACAGAAGCATCTCTCTGCTGAGGACAGAGCAGCGAGTCTCTCCCAGCCAGTAGAGGCTGGGCTCATTAAGCAGCTGCAAGGCTGTGTTACCATGCAGCTTAGTGGGAACCATGGCAGTGGCAAGGGTGAAGAGATGTCCTTTCGCTAACGCTTCATCTCTATTGATGTTTACACATGCCAAAAGCCAGGTATACTAGAATCTCAAAGATATGAACAACAGAGTCGTGGACCGACTGGTTACCCTGACACCGTGGCTACCTCTAGACTGGCATGATTTTCCGCAAATGCTTTTAACGGAAAAGTTTTTCCGTTAAAAGCATTTGTGGAAAAGAGCGTCTAGATTGGCACGGACACTTTTCCGCAAAAGCACTTTTTGTGGAAAAGCATCTGTGCCAATCTAGATGCGGTTTTGCGCAAGAAAGCCCTGATCGCCATTTTCGCCATCAGGGCTTTTTTGCGCAAAACAGTTTTTAGCTGTCTACACTGGCCCTTTTTCGCAAAAGCATTTCCAGAAAAGGGCTTTTGCCCAAATGGGAGCAGCATAGCATTTCCGCAAGAACACTGACAATCTTACATGAGATCATCAGTGTTCTTGAGGAAATTCAAGCAGCCAGTGTAGACAGCTGGCAAGTTTTTCTGCAAAAGCAGCCGCTTTTGTGGAAAAACTTGCCAGTCTAGATGCAGGCCATGTGAAATTGGAAATAACTGATCATGGAGGAGCAGAGACAAAAAAGCAGCAGCAAAATATTATACTGTTTCTGTATTGTGCCTATGTTTAAAATACATTTGGGCTGCCTATTCTCACCCCTAAGCATGGAAGTGCCACTTCCAGCAAACCACTGGGGCTGCCTGAGTCAGCACAGCAGGAGCAGCACTGGGGTCTGTGACGCTTTACCTCCACCACATTGGGAGGAGGATTGTTTTAGTCCCCCTCCACCAGCCTGCCCCCACATAGCACCATACTGTTTTCACACAGATGTGATAACTGGAAGGGGGATAAGCTTGCAAGCTCATGACAGTACTGAACACAGATACTGCTGAAACCAAGCCTGGAGCATCAGGAGCCACGCTTGGTTCAAGTTCAGGGTTATGAACTTTTCAGAACTATGGACAGCCTCCAATTCTGAGGTGTCTGAAACTGAGGTTCTAATGGTAACTGTTTCTAATCTTTATGCAAAACTTCCCTTTTCTGTAAAACATTTTATGACATTTATCACAAAGGATGCCTTCAGCTAAATGTACTGTAATTACATTTACCAATATGTTAATATTAGCTACAATGCATCACAGTTAGTGAAAAATCTTTTTCTATACTTCACTCCTGCCCCACTCACATTCTGCCAATTGTTGATACAAGTTATTTAAAGTGTTCATCAGATTTTTGCAAGGTTTCTTTGGTAAGATCTTCCACGAAATAGTTTTCTTATCTCCAGTTCTAGAAAGGGAAGAAGAAAAAGTATTAATATTCAGAGACGACATCTTGTTCTCTGTACAGCTGCTGGCTCAATTGTGGTCCTGCTCTATGACTAGGAGCTACAGTAACACAAATAATACATAAAAATAACAATGGAAATATATTTCTACCCAGGATCATCTCAAGAAGGATGTACTCCTATATGTATAAATAAAAATGCGTGTGCATTCACAATCCACTATAGAAAGAATGGTCTTCTGAGCAAAGGAGAGAAAAGCAGGCATTTAAATTTGCTTTTGCAGTTTAAAGAAGTAAAAGGTTGCATATTATTTATTATGGTCTGTATTTATTAACTTTTTATTTAATAAAGTTTTTAAATTATTTTGCTGCACAGAAAAGAAGGTGCTTGCATATTATGAAATACAGCAACTATATATAGTACTTTTTAAACTGTTGTTTGAAGATGGAAGTGTCTGGAATTTTGTGATGACTAGAATTATGCAATGACCTGAATAAATTAACACATGAGGTGAAACCAACTCTGGTGAAGAGCTGGGTTGAGGTGATACAGAAATCACACTGTTTCATTGTCAACAGAAGGCAGTGACATGTCTTTCAGACCATACTAAAGTGCAAAACAGCAAAAAAATCTCAACCATCTGCTTTTTACTAAACAGTTTATGTACATGATATCCACAAATTTTATATGCTCAAAGAAAAGCAGCTGAAACTAGCCATTGGCTGTAGAAGATGAATACAGTAATAATGAGAAGCAGAAGATAAGCTGAATCAACAGAAAAACTTAAAATGTTAACAAAAAGACAGCAGTGGGAAGGAAATGCTGCTTTCTAGGGAGCCCCTTACTTCCCCACATAAAAGAAAAAAATAAAAACAGATAAATCAGTTCATTTTCAATAGAGTGTCAAAAATGCAGAACAGAAGAGAGTTGTACATAATCTATAAGGACAGTATGCCTTAACACAATTTTTTCATAAACATTTTTGTTAAATCGCGGCCATAAATTTGCACCAAAATGAGACAGATAACTATCCCATATTTAATGATAAATTAAAAACAAAAAAGGATCAATGAACTTGCCAACTTCTTTAATGAAAAATTAATGAAAATGATACCAAAAAGAAAAGCCAATAGTAGGACAACATAGGACTGTTCTTAAAATGTATGATCTACAAAAATATTTAACTGAGCTTAAAAACTATGGTTTCCTTCTTATTTTTGGTGTTTTGAAACTTTTATATGATATAAAGTTGTATTAAAATATACAGTAATCCAACAGTCCCAAAAGTCTTTCTTAGAGTAACTTAGTATTACTGTAGTTTGTTTCTATTCTGAATAATTTTACTTAAATTCTATCAGTAGGACAATATTGCTCAAACGAGGTCATTTTTACAGGTTATCCCAGAGAAGTGTACCAGGCTTAGTTTTTTTCGGTGCAAAAGTTCCACTGGACAATATGTGGAGACTGGATTTAAAACACAAAAAGATACACAGACCTATTTCTTTGTTTCAGTAACATTCAAATTATCTCACTAGTCTGTCTGAGCTCCATTTAGTCTCCAGACCAAAGAGTGTTTACCTCATGCCTTGCATCCAGCTAGTAATTATGACTACATCATTTCAAAAATTAACTACTGAAGTTAACAATACTTCCTGTACAAGGCTTCTTGTCCCTCATCCCTTAAAAATAGCCCAATCTATGTACTGTTTGACTATTTTTTGTGGACCAGGTGATCATGATGGAATGAATAAAAAGATTCTCATTTGAAGAGCACAGGAAGAATGAAATCAATATTATTTATCCAAGAAATTGAATGATTGATCTGCATTCATGCAGTTTCATCCACTTACCAAGTTTTCCCTTTCGGTAACCTCCTAAAAATATACTATGGCTACGTCTATACTGTGCTGTTTTGTGAAAGAAATACGTAAATGAGGCAAAGCATGGAATATCACTGTGCCTCATTTGCATAATTAATGAGCAGCCTCTTTTTGCACAAGAGGCTTTTGGTGCAAAAAGGAGCTGTCTACATGGCTCCTTTTTGCACAAAACCCCCCTCTTTCGCAAGAGCCGTTCTTCCTGACAGACAGCAGAATGGCTCTTGCGCAAAAACCTCTTGTGCAAAAAGCAGCCACTCAATTATGCAAATGAGGCGTGGCGATATTCCATGCTTTGCCTCATTTGCATATTTCTTGCGCAAAACAGATGTAGCCAAAGGGTTTGTCTACACAGCAAAGAAAAACCCATGGCTAGCCCCTGACAGTAGATTTGGGCTTGCATTGCTCAAGATGCAAGGTCTTTTCACTGTTTGTAGACTTCAGTGTTTGGGCTGGAGCCTGAGCTCAGAGGCCTTCCCATCCTGTAGGGTCCTAGTGCCTGTGCACCAGCCCAAAAGCCTGCACAGCAATAAGCGTACAGGGGCACAAGCCCCTGCAGCCCTGGGCCAGATAAAGTTCCCTCTAAGCTGTGTGGTTACATAGTAGTCTACCAAAGGCTATGCAAGCGCCCACAGCTGCAGGAGGGAGAGACACTTCCTCCGGGCCCAGAGCTGCTGCAGTGGGGAGAAGCTCCTCTCCCCCAGCTCTGGCTCCAGGGAAGAGACACTTCTTCCCCCAAGCCCAGGACTGTGGCAAGGGGAGAAGGACTCCCCTCTCACTGCTGCAGCCAGCACTCCATCCCCAGCTCCACCCCAGATCCCACATCCCTAGAAGGAGCTCTCAGCAAGTCACTTACACTCTCTAGAGAGTGAGGGTATGTCTACACTTGCACCCTCTTTCGAAAGAGGGATGCAAATGAAGACATTCGAAATTGCAAACGAAGCCGGGATTTAAATATCCCGTGCTTCGTTTGCATATTTGCGTTCTGGCGCTATTTCGAAATAGCGCTATTTTGAAATAACATGCTGTTAAGACACGGTTATTTCAAGAGAAAACCCTTCTCTCGAAATAACTGGTAAACCTCATTGTATGAGGAATAAGGGTTATTTTGAAAGAAGGGTTTTTTCTCGAAATAACTGCGTTTTAACAGCATCTGTTATTTCGAAATAGTGCCAGAATACAAATATGCAAATGAAGTGTGGGATCTTTAAATCCTGGCTTCATTTGCAATTTCGAATGTCTTCATTTGCATCCCTCTTTCGAAAGAGGGTGCAAGTGTAGACATACCCTCTGAGTCTCAGTGTACCAACAGAAAAACTGCACTAATACCCACTGATTTCACAGAAGGACTGTGTAGATTAGATTGGTAATATTTGTACTGGGCACTCAAACTTACAGCAATCTACATGCTAACTATTAAGAAGAGACAAGGAGGGTGAGGGTCATTTTTTTTTGGACCAACTTCTATGGGTGAGACACAAGCTTTTGTACCACACACACAGCTCTTCGGGTCTGGGAAAGGTGAGCTTGACAGCTAAATGGAAGGTAGAACAGACTGTTAAATCATAAGTAGTTAAAACATATTCTAAGGGACCATTAGAGACAAACAGGATCTTTAAGATCTCTGAAGTTAGAGGGGGGGAAAAAGGGGGATTTGTGAGTTCTAAACTGTTGCAATAAGCCATAAATCCAGTATCTTTGTTTAGTTCCTAATCTAGTGTGTCTAGCAGACTTTTGAATTTAACTGTTTATGCTATATACAGACAAAGAGATGATGTCTGGGGATGATAGTAAATGAGGATCCTATCTCCTTTCTGCTGAATTGGACAGAAATATAAATGAGCAGTTGCTTCTGGCCAGAGAAGCAGCTCCGTCATAGAAGACAGAGTGTTAAGATGCTGTTACACAACTGAAACGTAAGGAGTAAAAAACAAACTTCAAATGGAATCTCTCAGGTTTTTGCCACATAAAATCAACAAATATCACAACCATACAAGAACATCAGTAATAAATACTTACTGAGAAATGGTGTTGGTATCTAGGTCGACACAGCTAACATCTGGTGGGGGATCATAGAGATCAAAGTATCTTGAATCAATTCCTACTATGAATGGACATGGTGCACTTAACACATCTGCCAGTGCCAAGGGGCATAGAGGAATGTATGGGCATGGCCAGTGGAAAGGAAATATCATCTTTAAAAAAAAAAACACACACACATACACACACAATATTCAACTGATATTTATAGAAATATACAATCTCAGACTGTTTGCCACATTATAAAAGCATTTAACAGAAAAAGTAACAGCATATGATTGACACTGTAAACTAATATTAAATAACTGCTATCATTTGAAAAGGCAATTTAATTTTTTTTAGTTTGCTTATTTATTCTATAAAAGATTTTCTGCATACTAGCCATTTCTCAGTAGAGACACTGACATTAATCTGTGAAAGGGAGGAACTATAAAAATGATATACAGCTACCAGCCTTTTGAGGGTAGAGGCAAAGAATATAGTCCCACTGGGAGCCATTTAGGAAGTTAAAGAATTCCTGCATTTAGTGCATACATATTAAAGTGACTGGCACAATAGTGTAAATAAGCAAAAGCCAAAGACAGGATGAAATTCTACCCTCAACTTATTTAACCTCAATTACTTCTGTGGGATGGCAGAGGGGAAACCTGGGCCTTATTTTGTAAGTAACACTCAATCCCAGAAGTAGTACTATGTTATTTTACCATTTATTTAAACAATATTCGTTTTCACTAAAAGATATGACTATGAAAAGATAATGCTACTTACAGAGACTAATGCCTCTGTCACACTAGTAAGGACAGACGGTCGTAAGGAATGTATGAGAATTTTATGTTCTGTTACAGCAAATACAAGTAGAGTTACTGCATTCTCAGGCCCTAGGTTCTGAAGCAACGTAGAAAACTTGCCACCACTGTTACAAAACATAAATCATTGGTGAGTATCAAAAAATTAGGCAGAGAAATGTTATAATACATTGCACTGAAAATATAAACAAATATAAAGAATTCATAACTGAATTTAAACTGGGGTGTTGTAAACATGTCAAACTTAAGTTTTTCATTTGCGTTTATTTTTTGCATTCTTAATAAGAAACTCGGCAACTTCAGAAATTACACTAAGCATAAAAAACCCCTTTCCTACAGTAATTGTGGTTGCAATATTGTAGCATGGATCCCACTGTAAGAATACACACGCTTCAAACAGATGAGAATGTACACTTTTGAATACTTGCATCAGTCAAGCACTCAAGCATATTGTGCCCCTCTGGAAAGGCATAAAATGCTGGGCATCCACAACCCCCTCCTCAGCTCCCTCATGATTCAAAGCTGTGACTCCTGGAAGGTTCTGACCTAATGGGGCTCTCTCATAGTGATGACCTCATATCCATAGGCGGATGACAGATGGATGAGGACTGAGCTCCTGCTTCTTTATGTAGTTCACTGCAGATGTATTGTCAATTGAGATCTACATGTTGGCGGTCCATAGAACAGGAGAAATGCCATACAAGACAGACTTGATAATCCCAAATTCTGGGATGCTTATGTGGCATTTCAAGATATCATGGGACCAGATCTCTTCCATCTGCAGGTGGCCCGGTGGGCTCCCCACACCGTTCCAGGTGGGTCTGTGATGACAGTCACTTTCAGAGAGGGAATCAAGAATGAAATTCTTTTCATGCTTTCTCAGGCTCTAGCCACCATCTCAGTTTTTGCAGACCTTGAGGTGGGACTATGACCTCAGCCAGAATTCAGAGGTAACAGGCACAGTCCGATAGAATTGATGAAGCCACCCTTTCTTCCTCATGTTTAGAATATACTGGGAGTAAAAGTCTCTTCCTCTAAATTCTAGCTGGGTAACAAAGTAGTCCGAACCAAGGATATAAAAATACTCGCTTTCTGCAGGATGCTGGAATGTCTAAAAATTATCGGACTCTAGGGCTACTGTTTGCTTGATGACAAAGTCTTTGTGGGTATGTCTACACTACAGCACTAATTCGAACTAACTTAGTTCGAATTAGTTAATTCGAACTAAGCTAATTCGAATTAGCGCATCTAGACTTAAAAAGTAGTTTGAATTAGCGTTTTGCTAATTCGAACTAGCATGACCACACTGAGTGGACCCTGAACCAAGGTTAAGGATGGCCGGAAGCAGTGCCGGCAGGGCATCAGATTAGGACTTAGAGCGTGGAGCTGCTGTCTCAGGCTAGCCGAGGGCTGTGCTTAAAGGGACCCCACCCCCACCCCGGACAGACAGTTCTCAGGGGTTCCCCGCTTGCAAATCAGTCCTAGCTTGGAGTGCCCTGAGTGCCCACACTGGGCACATCACAGCACTCGGCCATCAGCCCGGCTGCACTTGCCGCAGGCTGCCATCC